CCACACCCGCGTCCTCCGCATCCCCCGCATCCCCCGCGCACTCCCGACACGACCGCCAGCTGGCGCTGCTGCTGCACAAACAGAAACAGTTCAAGGATGCTGCACTCAATGCTAAGAGAGACGGTAAATATGTGGTACTATTAAACATAATTATTAGCTTATGTGTTCTTTCAGACTGTTCTATATGTATGACAAATTTTATCGAGATTCGTTCAGACGTTCTTGAGATGCCTTTAAACAAACATACATTCATTAACAAACATACACATTAAAGGTAGGCAACGCATATACAATAGCGTATGTCTATGGGCAACGGTCACTTCGCTATTTCAGCGATTTCAGGTGGCCGCTCGCTCGTTTGCCACCTTGTGATATAAAAAAAAAACTATATTGTATCAAAGACATATGACATATGAGTTGAATTTTAATAAATAAATTTTCGTTTCAGGCAACATTGCCCAGGCTAAGGAGTATTTGCGTGCTGCGAAAGGTTTCGACTCTGTGATAGAGGCGGCGCGCGGCGGTCTCCTTGTAGACCTCAAGTCTCTGCCTCTCGCACCTAATGATAAGAAACAGATTGAACATACGTAAGTATAACAAAGACTTAACAAAAATATTGTTTTCTCCCTCACTCTTATTGAATAAAACAAACAGCTTACATTACATTGCCTTCACACAAAAAAATGTTGTTTAGTAAAATAACATATAGCGACGTGTCTCTTATAATCTCTAGATAACAACGATACTAAAATCTACATTATTCTAATGTATATAAGGTAACATTTTCAAAACTGACGAAAAATTAAATTTGACAGATGTAAGTGACATTTTCGACGTTCATATCTAATTAATTGTTCATTTTCATTCTTATCCATACTCCATTAATTAAAGGTAGCAACGCATTTGTTATTACGAACGTCTATGTGCATAGCTAGCTAGCTGCCACACAGAAGACAGGCGTGAAGTGGACGCAATTCCGCGTTTCGTCTGATGAGTGTGCGTCCCGGAGGCCTAATTTAGTCCTCTTTCCCTTCCCACCCTTTTTCTTATAAGGAAGGGATGGGATGTGGAAGTGGACTTTCCGGATGAGAGGATGCATGGAAAGGGAAAATATTTTCTTTCTGTGTATCCTCTCCTCCGTCGATCAAAGGTAGGCAACGCATATGCAATTGCG